TGTCAGGGTCAGTGGTAGAAAAATCTCTGGGTCTCATCATTCAGAATGATCAGGCATTTGACTTGTTTACTTTAAGAAATTGTGCTGTTTTGTAGCATATTCATTGTGGGGCCTGTGTTCTCTTACTAAGCCATAGCAGCTGGTGACTCAGAGGAGGCTGCACTCGCCTGGCTACACAGGCCACCACAACTCCAAGGCAGAGGCCTCCCTTCTGGATTAGGGCCTTTCCCGACTGAGCACTGAACAAAGGATCTGGATGGATGAGGAATGGAAGTCTGGTGTGGGTGGCATAAAGAATGATCTTGGATGTGAAGTCAGAGGGGAAGGTAGCAGTTAGGTCCCCAACAGCTTGTGGGTGGAGCTGAGGCGTTGAACTTTTGAGTCAAAGGCTTTCAGTCTTAAAGCTGGCATGACCTCCTGAGTTTGGAGAAGGTCTTTTGACCTTTCCTGGTGACAGTGATTAAAACCCAAATTCTGAATTCTTACCTATGGCTGGGGATATCATTTAAGGATGTGACACTTCTGGCTACAAAGAAAAACCTTCATGAAGAGATGTATGTCATCATGGCTCAAGCTTTTTTTTTTTTTTTTTTTTTTTTTTTTTTTTTTTGGTACAGTGTAGCACGTCCATCCATATGATCTTGTCTGTGAATTCAGAAGCTTATTGAAGTTCTTTTCGAAGATGATTTCTTCCCCAAGAGGAATGCTGGTGCCAGCTGCCAAACACTTTTGTTTTGTTTTCATTATTATTTGTTATTTGTCAGAGGCTTTTTATGTTAATACCTTGGATCTAAAATCCTCCAAGTCACTCTTATTTGCATATACTATGATTAGAAACTTTTCCAAATTAAACTTATACAAAGTTGAAATTCTAAAGGCAGCATTGATGAAAAGAAGTCTTAAGGAGTGAGCATCAGTCATTCCCAACTCTGCCAGGTAATAAGCTGAGTGACAGTGAAAACCTTACCAACCTCTTTGGGTCCCAGAATTTTACATTTCATAAAGAGGAGCTGACATCTGCTGTGAGAAGCACACAGGTTGTTGCAAAGCATAAGATGAACTCACTGATGAAATCATGGATGGTAATATAAAGAGGGCATGAGCATGAACCTTCAGATGAGAAATGCCACAGGCTATAGCTTCCAGTTCAGCTCATTAGCATTGGAATTGAGCCTCTCTCCATTACCTTTGAGTTGCATGAACTGAGTAAGTTCTCTGACCTCATGAGATTCCATTTCGTGTCTGAAAATAGAAATATAGATAGTGACATCAAAATCCTGGAGGATTACATGGGATAACCTGGGCTTGATGTCTCACTCTCAGCAGATGCATGGCAGAGCTCTTGTCCTCAGCTGTCTCTCCTGGGTCTTTCATCTATCTATACCAGCTCAGTCCTCTCGGAGAACTATACATTATGTATAATGTATGATATAATATTAATATATAATATATATTATATATATTACATTTTCTTTATCCATTCATCTATTGAAGGACACCTAGGTTGGTTCCATAGTTTAGCTATTGTGAATTCAGCTGCTATGAACATTAACATCACTGTACCACTGTAGTATGCTGGTTGTATGTGTTCCTTATTTTAGAATTCAGAAGAGGGTAAAGAGATAATCAGCAGTCATACTGACATTCCTCTTTTCTAGATAGCATCCTAGAATTTCATTTGAGTCTGAATTTTTAGGCATACATTTATATACCTGGAATGATACTGAGTCAGTAATTTTCTGTTTTGAACTTTATACTTAATATAACATGATAGGCATTTTTATCATCACCACAAATTCTTTGTAGAGATATTTTTAATGGTTGAGGCTGACATAAACATATTTATCAGTAATCTTTGACTTCTGATTTTGGGGGGAAGTATATTAGTAACTAGAGTTTTAAGCCAAGGAATATAAACCTTCATAGACAATTGATTTTTCAAGAATGTCATTTCAGCTGCATTATCAGCTCCTCTCACTGTGTTTTTGAAGTGTCTGGCTTTTAAAATACGTGTGTGTGTGTGTGTGTGTGTGTGTGTGTGTGTGTCTGATATTATGCTTTTATGTTTCTCAGGCTTATATTTCAGTCTTTATTATATATAGTACAAGTAATGCTTGTGATATCAAAACATTGTATCATGAAAATTTGTAGATTTTTCCCCTTAAGCATCTTCATCTGCAGTTATTGCTATTTATTTACCTTTATCTAAGCACTGACTGTACAACTCATGTAGACACATTGAAACATTAGATCAATGAGTGAATACATCAACAAATGACTCATTGTGTACTTTGAGAGCTTTTACTCTCTGAAAAGTGCAGGAATTGAATTCTTCAAGGAATTTAGATCATTGACATGAATATGTAGATTGTAGGCAGAAAGAAAACTTACATAAATTAGATACTTGAATCATAAATTAATTTAATAATCTACAAAGATTAATGGTTGAATATGCCATGGTTTTATGATTTGATGTCCAAAAGTCCTGTCAACTGTTCTGGAGAAATCCTGAGAAATTTGCAACCTATTTCAGGAATATTTTCTCTTGATTTCTTTTTTTTTTCTTAAGAACTGTATTATTTTTGTGTAATTTGGATTCTCGATAGTAAAGATTGAAATGTTTTAGTTCACATGAAACAGTTTTGAAGGAATTTTAAATATTATGCATATATGATTATAGAGAATGTTAGAGAATTATTGGGATTTTGCATTAATTTTTCAAAATACATTTAAAAATACACCCATAGGGCCACAACAACTACTAGTACTACTACTTCTTCCTCTCTCTCTCTGTCTCTACCTCTCTACCTGCCTCTCTCTCTCTCCCTGCCTCTCTCTCTCTCCCTCCCTCCCTCCCTCCCTCCCTCAGTTCTGGGGCTTGAACCCAGGGCCTTTCACATGCTAGGCGGGAGCTCTACCACAGAGCTACATCCCCAATCCCTACAATTTCTATTAATGGTGAAAAAGAATATGAGTGACTCTCACACTGTTGTATTACACGTGGAGCTTCCAACTCATGTTCTATCATTTCATCTGCTTTCATCAAAGTCTCCCAAATGCATTGTGTGCTTCCTCACACCAAATAGAATGTGCTTCTATTTTGGCAATTTCCAGCCCAGAAACTAAATATTAAAACTTATTTATTTACCTATTTATGCAGTGCCAAATGTCCTTCCAAATGATTCACAAGGATTAATTCGTTCTGTCTTCTAACAACCTTGTCAGGTAGCTATTATTACTAGCTTCATTTTCTATCTGAGGTTACTGAGGTTAGAAAGTTTCCCTGACTTTCTAGGGTCACAAATTTTGCATGTGGTGGAGCTGGATTTAAACCCAGGCTCCTGTGATCCAGCATCCACAGTGCAGATTCTACATTACATCTCATTATCAAGATATGAAGAATCACAAGATCAGAAACACATCTCCAGCCATAAACACTCCACCCAGGAGTCCTTGTTGTACCCAGACACACCATAGTGCCCTCCAAGGAGGAGTTGCAGAGCTCCAGCCACTCAGCACTTCATCTTGGGAAGCCCCTTCCTTATATGAAGCACTGAAATATAAACCCACTGTAGAGGCTTTGGAGGAGACAAACAGGATGATCCGTGTTAATTAGCAGCACAGCCTCTGACACTATAGAGCAAAAGAGGAACGGCCACTAAGCACACGTCTCATGTACTTGACACAGTTTATTGGCCCCTAAACATTCCTGGAGATAGATAAATAGATGTGTTAGGCAGAGGCATTTCTATAGTCTTTCATGTATATTTATCAAGGTTCTCAAAAATCTCTCAGCCATTTGTAGACTACAAATCATAATTTTAAAGGTTGGAGATTGTTAAGGCCATGTACAGACCTCAGGGGGTGATGACTGACAACATGAAATCAAGATAGAAAATAGGAAAATAGAACCCAGGTAAGGAGCTCTGAAGGTGCCCTTAAGGGTGATCCATTCTCAGTTCCAAACGCTGTCTGGGGAATTTGATTTCACTACATAGACTTAAAAAAAATGATAAAACTATAATAAGTGCATGTGGTCAACCTTACTTAGGGAAACTTTATGTAAATGCAATACATTTACCCAGCAATGTTTGGTAAGTAAATGGTTATTGTAAGATTTGGGGCAAGCCATTTTTTTTCATTCATTCATTCACTAAATTAATATCTATCAGTGCTAGGTATTGTGCTAGGTAGTAAGTGCTAGTACTGTGTCTGATACTTGAAATTAATGTATCAGTGAACAAAACAGAAAAGTCATAATAGTTCTTTCAAGTACTTGTTTATTAAAGGAATCTTTATTCTGATGCTATAATGTGCCCAACATGGTTCTAGGAATCTGGGATGAGGTAGTAGAATAACACAAAGATTTTGAAAGCCCCTTACATTCTTAGAGACCACTATTTGAGATCACTCCAGGTATGACTACAACCTTGGGTTATTACTCAGGCACCAGTGGAAATACCATCCTTAGCTCTGCAATGTTGGAATCAGTGCCTGGGTTGAAATTCTATTGGGAGAATTCTTTTACATAACAGACAAAAAAGTGCCTGGATAAATTACTTATGCATTCCCTTTCATCTTCTCTCAGCCACATTCTAATCATTACAGACCTTGAAGCAATAAGGCCAGCAATAATGTTTCTCAGGGTTAGTTCCCAGCCCAGCCTCTGATATCCTCTAACTCAGCACTTTGCTTTCATGGTTTGCATTTTCACCTTCCCTCTTTATTGAGTAGGGGTTGATTCCAGGACTTACTGATTTTTTTTTAAGTTAAATCAGTGTCTGTGTCAATATAAATGGATGACAGTAAATGTGTAACTGGCTTACAATTCATTTATCTATATTAAATTTTTGAGAATCCAAAATATCTCAACCATTTGGAAGAGTGGCTTTTTTTTCTAACTTTCTATGAAAATGGACCTTGAATTTCCCCATCCTATGTCAATGTAGAATATATATATGTTTAATAATAGCCATATTTTAATTTTATTCGACTCTCAGGTTTGGTGATGGATACACTGTCAAAGTTTGGCTGTGTGAGGAAGCAAATCAACCAAGCACTATTTCTGATTGCTTAAAGCTCCATTTTCCAGGAATTCAGTTTAAGGTAGGACTAATATTCTGCATTGTCTTTGTTTTTATCTGAAAATACCTTTGAAATGCATTTGTATTTTTTTTCTGTTTTTATTCTACACTGTCATGATAAACTTACTCCCTGTTATCTTGGCCTCATGTGAATATTGTCCATGCTTTACTACCAAAAGTAGCATGGATAGCTTATACTGCCTGGCCACTCTGAGGAGTGAAACCTGCTTGGTCTCTTGTTGGATTTCACAGAGAAGATTAAAATGATATATTCACCCCTCTAACCAGTGGGCACAACTCTATTGCATAGTTTATATTGTTCAGGTTTGAAGGTAGCAAAAATTAATTTCTTCCCTATATTGTAGTAGATTTATATCTGTTGTGATTTCAGTATTATTTCATAAGAAGAACCCCGTGGTTGAGATCATAATCCTCTTTTAACTTGATATAATTAAGTGTGGTCCCCTGGACCATCAGCATTTTCAATACCTGGGAACTATTTAGGTATGCAGAATCTCAGGTTCCAACCTACTGAACCTGAATCTGCATTTTAAACAGATGACCAGATGATTTTTATGCACATTAAATTTTTAGAAATACTGTCTACAATTCTTTTGGAAAACTGTAATCCTAAGTTATCATCACTTCTAACATGTCCATAAAATATAAGTCTTACCTACTTATTCCAACAACAAGCATTTGGTGGAAGGAAGAAGCCTGCTGTGTAAAACATTACCATTCATGCTCTAGTAACACTCTGAACAGCCCTATAATATAGCTGTCACAGGCTTCCTTGGCATACATGAAAACAGGATCAGAGCGGTTAGATATCAAGCCAAGAGTTGCTCAGCTAGTGGAGAGGGCCTCTGAGAGCTAATAAGCACATGTCCTGAAGTGAAGTTCAGGGCACTTCCAGATACCTCTATTATGCCACATTAACTTCTTACTTCTGTAATATCTGTAGGCAACTTCTGACTCTTTAAAGAGGTCCTTCCTGTGCTTATGGCAAAGTGGGGGTCAAAGCAGGGGCAGAACAGCAATTCAACCCAAGTGAATGACATTTATCAAATATGCCTCCTGGTAAATTGTCATCAATAAATATTCATTAGAGGCTCACAAAGTGAAGCTAACTAGCTCATTCGTACTGATGTGTGTGACTTGATTTAAAAAAAAAACATATCTGAGTGTAGTTGGAGATTCAATGCAATGTGATCAATTTTGTTTAATGATTGCCTGTCATATGACACTTTCTAATTTTGGGATCTTAGGGACAGCGCCTTAATTTATTGGAGTATCATGTGCCAAAAAGATGGGGATGCTTGGCTGATTTGTTCAAAGTTCTAGAGGACAAGAAGACCTTCTTGAACATCAAGCATTATTCTATTAATCAGACCACTCTGGACCAGGTATAGTACCTTGAATGAGTCAGCAAGTTGCATTTTGATATGCTCATCAGGCATACCACATCTAGGAAATTTAAAAATTTTGTCAGATTACTTCTCCAGCTCAACATTTCTTTTAATTAACCTTGTTCACTCTTACAAAATTCTAATAAGGATGGTGAGCATTAGAAGCTTTGTTTTCCATGTGCCCCCCACTCAAGGTGTACATTCCTAGGACTTCAATCTGTTTATAATTACAATGGACATGCAGTAAGTCAAATCATAAACTATTAACCTTCCCTTCCCCACTTTACCCAGTCTCTAAAAGATTAATTGGACCCTACTATAACTGAATGATAACTAACAAGAGGGAAACAAAAAGTGCTTGGTTGACTAAGAGTGCTAGAAATGTAAAATTATATCACAACTTCTTTCTGAAACCACACTTAAGGTATTGAGAATTTCCAGGTAATTCATTAAGCACCCAGAAATATTTATCATTCCCAGAGTTGAATCCTGAATGGATTTGTATGTTTAGGGTGGTGAAGGAGAGGATGGCATGGCTATCTGATTGAGAGATTTGGGGGCTGTTTTGGCAGTGTTCTGAGACATTCTCTCCCCTTCTGATAGTTGAAATCCAGAGACAGACTGTACTTACAAATAAGCAATTATTTTCATTATTTCTTTCAGGTATTTATTAATTTTGCTACTGAACAGCAACGGACTCCACACTCTACTCTTGATCTATCCACTGACTGTTACCGCCCGTATCATCTCTCTATTTAACCAAAAAGGAATAATCCCTTGACTTTCAATATAATTAATATTCAAGGATCAAACACACATGCACAGCTGAGGGCTGAAAGACATGCTCCAGGCAGTCAAGTTATTCTCTCTGTCACTGTCTATTTGGAAACTCTCTGTTTATTAATAATCGGCAAACTGAAAGGTCACTTTTTCCATAGACTTTTGGGTTGGTTCCTCCAACACATTTACTCTTTTTCCACATCGGGTGGTCACCAGCTTCTTTGTGACAAAGGCGGGAATGAATTAACAGAGTCCAAGCTGAGACACTCCAGGACTGAAATGCTGTCCCTGACTGTCCATGCCAAATGTCTCATTTTTCTCTTAAGGAAACTGTGACTTTTCCCCCAAGAACCACGGCGGGAAAAATTCCTAACTTATTTATATAGGAAATAGTATCAAGGACTGTCTTTTGATTGATGTGGTTACATATTTTAAAATCAAAACTCAATGATTTAAATGCAAACTTTTCCTAAAAGTGTATGGTATATGGCATAAGATGATAAAATTGCCCATTATTTTTATATAAAATATGCTTTAGAAATAGGAGTTGCAGAGCATTTTTGGTGAACCCATAAGCAAAATTAAAGAAATCAAATTAGTTGTTCTGTGTCATTTATAACAGTTTTACCAGATTGTAATTAGATAGGGATATAACAAGAAATAGAATGTGGATATTTTTTTCATAATTTGGAAGAATTATTTCTTTGTTATTCTAAGCCAATGATGTTTTCAAAGGGTGGTAGTTCCCATATTAGGTGCATTGGCTTACTCTGGGAGCATTTTAATTCTCAGGCCCAATTTCATAGCTGATAAACCTCAAACCCTGGGCCTGGAGCCCAGCAATCTGAGTTTGAACAAAGATATACCACTTTGAGAACAAAGGAGATATCTAGTTTCTTTCTAATTATAAAGGTAAAGTCAATACAGGATGTAGTAATTCAATATTGGTTTTAAAATATATTTTAAATATTTTTTAAAAGATATGTCACTCTCAGAATTTTTATCCTCAAGATGTGGCTTTCAAAACCTCTATTAATATGACAATTTATATCTTATACTTAATGAAGTATACAAAATCAATATATCTGCTACTGAAAATGTTTCCAAGTGAAATATTTTTGAACATTTCTCTAACAGCATTTTTCCAAAACCTCAGTGAAAGACCACATTAATTTTATTATAAAATTTGAGCCTATCCGGCACTATCATTGAGTACTAGTAGCTTGTGTTGTGATAGAAGAAAAAGACATTGACATCTGTTTACTACATCGAGATTTAATTAAGTTTGTCTTTCCTGAATATCATTTTGTACTAGACATAATTTTGAATGGTAAGGATTAAGCCAATCATGTGTAGCTTTGATGTAACTGATTTTGATTCTCATGTATCACATGAATTATGCTCTCTTAAAAGAATTACAGTTAAGATTTTATGATTTTTTTCCCTCAAATTCTAACATAGTCTCATTGTCAAAATGGAAGATGTAATCTCTTTTTGTTGTTGAATCAATAAATACCAATTTGTGAAACACGGATATATTTATACTGCAGTGAATAAATGAGGTGTGCTGTAATTTAGCCTGGTTCTTGGAATGTAATTGTGTTTTTGCCAATATATTTCCTTGCGTCTTTATTTGTGTCTTTAGGGATCCAATTTAATTCAGGTAAGAAGAAAATGGAACTACTCCAGATCTTTTAAAGTTTGAAAGGTTAAAATTTAATTGAGTTTTGCTCTGCTATGTTCTGCTCTTAGGGGTTCTTTTCTGGTCTTTGAATTGCTGTATTCTTGCATTTTATGCTTCAAGGTATGCTTTTGAACAATAAACAGGAAGAAAAAGAAACCCAACATGCTAAAACTCCACATCCCAGAAGACTGGACACAAAGGTCAAATCTTATGCTAATGTTGAAAATGTCATTGCATTCATAAGTCATACAGATATTTTATGCCTTTGGAGTTAAACATTTGTCTTAAGACCTTTGGGCTGAAGGTCGTACAACTGAGCCTTTTTTTTAAACAAACTATTTTCTACTGAAATCATTCTGAGTATTTTATAAGTCAGAGATAAGAGTGCTTATTTCATTTCTATAATCTGGCATTTATTATAGTTCATCTTTACCCAATTATTTAAACAGTTAATGTATTGAAGTTGTCATATAAAATCAAGATTGTGAAAAGCAAGTAAGGAACATATTTTTAGAATAGTAAATACTAGGTAGCTTAAGGTTATAGTTTGCTTTTAAAAAATGGGTATTAAATTTAAAAAATAGCTTAACAAGACCATTTCAAATCATCATACAAAACACACATACACACTACACACACATACACACCACATGCACACTATAGTGTTCATGGAAATGACATGAAGACTAGCTTAATCACAAATTGTCCTACTCAAATCAGGAGATGAGGAGATTTTAAATATTCAAACTGATTTGAACATGTTTCTTCTTTGGATTTTGCTTTGATCTTTTGCAGTATTTCTGCTCAGTGAACTTTTGCTTATGGAGAATTAAAACTTAGTTTTACCCACTTAAATAATTTAAGGCCTTTTTATACATATACACAAACACACAAAGCAATCATGCATTCATTCCTTTAAGTAATATTTATTGAACCCAATCTACATATGTAAGTAAATGGTAGGCACTACAAAAATGTGGCAATGGAATCATAGATTTTAAAACCTTAATCGTTGGGCTTGAGAAGCACACAAGCAAGTGGGAATTCTGAGGTGATGTTATAAGCAATGAGCGCATTCTGCTATGGGACCACAGAGGGATCCATCTAACCAGGGGTCTGGAAACAGACTTGGTAGGCTAGTAACCACTTGACTAAACATTTTCAGAGCAAGAATGGAGAAAATAGTATTTGAGGCTAAAAGAGTATCAGAGAAAATCAACAACATATAATGAGCAATGGATTTTTACCTATTATTTTGGAGAAAGTTTATATAATGATTATGGACGTTCCCCATCATTTTTTTCAAGTGACTGCTAAATCGGGGGGTGGGGATAACCTATATACTTAAGCTTGTATTATATCATCCAGAATTATTCACATGGTCATAACTAACTGCAAGAACGTTTGCACAATGAAGTTTTTAGCCAGACTTCTGACCAACCTAAAATGAAATAAACTAATTCTGTGCAAGAAAAGCCAAATAGATAATGGATAGATGGTGCCTTCTATGACAGGAATACAAACAGAGGTTTTTGTGGCCCTTCTGCCACAAAAGAATGAATTCAATTTGAAAATGTTGATCATTACTTTTCAAACTAAGTAATGTCAAGTGACATGGCTATCTTTTTGGCAATCCAGGTTCTAAGAATATTACTATTCAGGATTAAATTGTATGTTAAGATCTACAGAGCAGATGCCATTTATATTTATAAGCATTATTGTCAAATTGAATGCAGTAGATAAGGAAAAGAAAAATTTATGGACATTTTTTATTTGGGCTAAATAAATAGCAATGTCATTTTCTCACAGTGAGAATTCCTATTGAGATGCTTAATGGATAAATATCTCTTGCTAGAAAGGATTTTAAAAGACTGAAAGACATCAGAAGCATTTTTTCTTAATTATTTGCCATCACAGAAGCTACGTTTCACCCTCTCATGAATGAATCCATAAATTTTGCTCTTTACATTAAAATGTTAAATGTTTTAAGGGAAAATAGGATCTACTAGTTGAATGTGCTTTTTTTTTAAAAAACTGGAAATTGAACTCAGGGTGCTCTAGCACTGAACTACATTCCCAGTCTTTTTTTTTACTTTTTATTTTGGCACAAGGTAGTTTCTGTGTTGCCCAGATGATCTCAAACTTGCTATCTTCCTGCCTCAGTCTCCCATGTTGCTGGGATTACAGAAGTACACCAGTATTCCCAGATTAAATGTATATATTTCCCCCCTCTATTTGCTTTTTTTCCTTTCCATATTTTTATTAGTGCGTTATAATTGTACATAATGACGAGATTTGTTATATGTTAAAGTGCTTTTGGTCAAATTAAATGTACATCTTAAACCTAGAAAAATTTACAGGCTAAAAATATATCAGAAATTTTATGAGCATATTCTTTTAAATAGAAAGTAGTATTATAAACACCATACTTGTCCCTGCATGGATATTGCTTTGCTGATGAATTGTGTCCACTGCACAATTGTGGTAGTGTATTTAGTTTGTAACTCTGTTCACCAAGTACACAGATGAACATGTCTTCAGTTAAACTCTCGGTGGGGTACCATGATGTTGATGAGGCATGGGCTCCTAGTTAGTCACATGTGCATTCAGTGTCAGGCTGGAGCTCATCCTGCCCAAACATCATTTGAAAATGTTGTACCCCAACAACAAAAAAGGGGGGATTGAAGTTATAAGCTACGGCAAGGCAGGAAGCCCATGACAAAATTCACAGGCTGGGCATCAGGGAAGTAAAAATATCAGTAAATGAAATTGAGTGTAGTAAATAATGTCTCACAATCCAATATGATTTATATAGAGAATGCAATGGGGGTTCCGACTCAGAAGCAATTCATATAATATATTTCATTCAAAGGTAAGAATACAAATTCTTTCAAATACAGAAAAATGTAGATGATATCCTGCATTAGAATTTTAGGATTGCAAGTCAATTTTTATAATCTCATATCTTTGTAATATTACAATGGAATTTTCAAAGCTGAATCGTGTAATTATTTTAGTCAGCTTTTATACTGCTGTGACAAAAAGACCTAACAATTTTAATGAGGAAAAGTTTATTTGGGGCTCAGCTTCAGAGGTCTCTGTCCATAGATAGCTGACTCCATTCCTTGGCACCTGATGTAAGGCAAAACAACATAGCAGAAGTGTGTGGCACAGAAGGAGGAAAAGAGCAGGGGACATGGCAGCAGGAAGCAGGGAGAGAGATTTCTCCCCTCACCATGGACAAAACATAAACTCCAAGGTCATGCCCCCAGTGGTCCACCTCTTTCCGTCACAT